CCCCAAAACCCCAAAACCCCAAAACCCCAGCATATAAGCTTCAGATTGGTAGAGTTAATATAGAAATTAAAAATGGAGAATTTTATTGCTTGTATACAGGAGTAAGTTATAATTTTGCTAATTTTAGGAATGTTAAGTGTAGTTGATCCAAAGACCCCATCTACTTCTGTCATGACAACTTATCCCTCCTGTGTGAAGAGTGTCGTTCTTCCTGCTATTCCTGATTGCCAGTTGAACCTCTCTCTTTCCTCTCAGATCTTCCTGGTTTGCAATCTAAAGTTAGTGGGTTGTTGAATGGGCTGAAGGAGGAGATGGAGATGGGGTATTGAGAGAATGAAGAGGGGTTTATGACCAGTCAGAAGGATTTTGAGAGAAGGGAGTTTTGGTTGGATGATTGTTATTATGAGTTCAAAATGATTAGTAAGTCGGAATCCTTTAAGTTTTGAAGGATTTTAACATTAACTTTTTTGTAGTTGAGAGGAAAGATATCGCTCTTTCTGAAGTTGAGAAGAAGGATGCAGCTCTAGGTATGCTTGATCATGTCAATGCATTAAGGCAAATAACGGCTAGTTTAGTTCTTATAACGTTTGAATTAATTTTAAATATGAAAGCATGCTCCCAAACAAAAGCTTCGAATTCAAATTCTAGAAATATAGAGAACAGCAAATTAAGCATAAGCAATTATTTTGGCAATTTCATGAATGGATTTAAAGAAGAGAAAAATATAATACTATAATGATCTCTTGATAAAAAGTAATCAAACCCCATATTCGAACCCGAATTATACTCTAATGCCTGATTATTAGTGCAGCACAGAAATATAAAAGGAGCTAGTCGTATTTATAAGAATAAATGGAAAATATTTTTCGCAAAGCTACTATTTCTTTTATTCCCCAACTATAAGTTTAGAATAAACTATGAAGCTAGCACGAAGGGATTGCTTAACTCAAGATGATAATTTTTTCTTTCAAAAATGCTGCTTAAAAGATCATACCAATATTAATCAAGTAAGCCAAGGAACACATTCAAAGTTCAACAATTTTCATTAAAACCATTAAATCTTTACTTAATAGCATCGCTGAGAAATTACAAAAGGATCAAATCGCCATTGAGATCACTACAATTGCCAAAATCATCACTCAATACTCTCAAGCCCCCCAAATCTCATCTAGTAACCCTCCTCCTCACCTCCTAGCTCAAAAGCACACTCGCGAACTCCTCCACACCACACTCCTCGAACAAACCCAACTCAAGTCTGAACTCTCTCTGTACAAGCGCTTCATCGTTCCCTCTCTTCTATTGCTACTCTTGCTAGTAACTGTGAGAAGCTTTTACTCCTTTGAAGTATGTGAAAAAGGGCTGGATACCAAAGTGGCTTGTGAAAGTAAGGATATTTTAGTCAAAACTTGGTTATCTGAGAGGAAGATACTTTAACAGTTTATGTGATTTTTTAGATACTATATAGAAATCATTCAAAACCTGTCTTTGATGAGACTGAATATCGACATCAAGCTCTTAGACATCCTAGCGTTCTATTACTAATATTTTTGAGCTTTTGGAGGTTCTCAAATCTGCTCAATTCCTTTTTCATAGCATTAAATTTAAATTCTCAAATTATCTTTCGATTTTGAAGAATTTTCATTCATTAAATCTCTACTTTCTGACAAAATTTTTATAGTTCCCCAAGATGAAATACAGATTAACAGTACAGTACTAGGGTAAGTCACTCATCCTCAATCTGTTGTTTCTCATCACTAGGAAGGGGCTATATCTTTATGAGCATGTTTTAAGTATCCTCTCATGCTTCTTAGAGATCTTAGTAAGTTTGGTCCTGAAAAAGACTCTTCCAATTTTGTGTATTTTTAAACACTAAGGCAAAGTTAGAGAGAAATAGAAGTAGTATCAAAGTTAAAGTATTAGTGAATAGTAAGGAAAGTAGGATTCAGCTTATCTAAGTTCTTTTATGGTGCCATTTTTGGGCATGACATTTTTAATTTTCTCTAAAGTTCTCAAGAATTTTTATAGATATAGTATCTTCTTAATATTCTCCATAATTCTTCTCTTTTCTGAATCATGCTTACTATATTTGTTACGATATAAAGCTAATAGCTGGTTATTACAAAATTCCCCACGAAATAAGAAATCTACACTCACTTTTAGGAAGAGCAATGGTTGTAATGTTCTATATTATTAGTTTGCTTCTCTCTTGAGTGTCCATTGAAAGTTCGATTTTTATCCACAAGGGTTTTCAATGCTATTGACAGATTTCATTGAAGATTATGTATTGTATTCACTTTTTGAGTCCAAAAGAAGCTTTCCCCTTTAATATAGATTTAAAAGTGTTATAGTTATAATGATACTGTATTCATCCTTTACAGTTTGGTTAAAATTTCAGGAGTATAACATTGGTAGCTTCGATAAATAAGGGATTGGGTTACAAGCAGCTTCTTTACAAAATAGAGTAAAATTTGTAGTGTTTTAATAGTGCCTCCTACTCGATTTATTAACCTGATCCCACATTTCAGATAGATTAAGCTTCAAATGAGGACTCTGATAGCAAAAATGTCATAATATTTTTGATTTGATCTATTTCTGATTTTAAAGTTAACATTTTTTTATTAAAGATATAGACCAGAAATTGAAGTTCAATATGCACAAGCTATGCCAGAGTAAGCTTAATGATTTTTTTAATCCAAGTTGGTGTTCACCTCATCTCATTTTTTATTTTAGAAGATTTCATGATGATGAACTGAAAAATCATCTGGATATGCAGATGGAAAAGTTAAAGGAACTTGAAAGCAAAATCAATCTACTTCCTCACAAGCTTAATATATCTGCATCCCAGCTTATAAATGATAAAAACTATGAGCCAGAAAATAATTTAATCAAGACATCTGAACAAAACCCTCAGAACAATGAGTAAGTTAACTTTTGAAAGAATTAAAGTTTAACTTTTTCTATAGAGAAATATGCAGCTGTTCCAACAGAGTTATTTTTCAAGGTAAACATTTTTGTTTAAAGTTTCTAACAATTTTTTTGATAAAAATTAAGGTGTAAAGAGTCTATTCCTCACTTTCAACTTTACTGAACAGAAATTCTTATTTTTAGCATACTAAATCTACTTTGAAAATAGTTATTTATTTAAACTTAGAACCTTTATCAAAACTTTTAATAATTTCCTGAAGAAAGAATACATTTTTTCTGTAATAGATCAATAAAATTAAGGTAGTTTTACAAATTGGGAATGCAATCTGGTTTATTCAAAGAGACTAGAATAAATTAAGAAATTTATAGAACTTTCCTTTAATTATCATGACTTTAGAATATCAAGATAGCATTCTTCAAAGAATAGAAGAGAAATTAAGAGAAACAAATAAGTGCTATTGTGATACTCAACAAAATCTTCAATTCTACACATTGTGGAACAAGATCTTAACTGAGGATGTCAAAACTGTAGAGTCTAGCACAAAAATCATCAAAGAAATGTTTGGTCTAATCAAAAAGATCGATCATAAAGTAACAGATATCAGCAAATACACCACAAAAAGCCACAAACCACTAGTCTGCAAAGGTGACTACAACTCTCTGGTCATCCAAGCCTTTGGTCTTGAAAAGAACCCTTATTCTGTAAGTATCTCCCTTAAAGCACCCATTAATCTTCTCTCTAACTCAATTTGCCCAATAATTCCCTATTCTTGGTCTTACAACTCAACTATTGTTCACTTTCTGCAGTCAAGTCTTAGCTTTTGTACTAGTTCCAGCTGTTCTTCATTGAACTTTCCAGGTTTTAGCTTTTGGATAGAATAGAGACTGACTGAGATTTACCTGCTCCAGTACTTGTCACTAACCTTGCATATATAGACTAAAGCTGGTTCACGGTGGGCTGGCTTCACTTCATTATTAGCTTTGGGCTGTTGATAATAGGAACGATATGGTCTATTCTTATTTATATTCCCTTGAAATTAATGGAAGGAATCATATTCTGCTTTATGATGCTATATTACTTATTGTCAGCTATAATTTCAAGTATTTTGAATGTTCTGAAGTATATTATACTTTTATTGATCGATCTCAGCTCAAATGATAAAGTAATGATTCCAACAATAATTATTTCGTTGTTAATTTTAGTAATTTATTTAATCCGCAGAACCAAATATTAGAAGAAAAAATAAATTCCATGAGAAGATGTAGATAAACCACACAAAAATCTACCTGGAGAAGATATCAACCCCAAAAAAATCCAAAAACCCTCTAATATCCCCTCCATAATCCCCCTTTAAACCCACTCAATTTCCTATCTTTCCAAATTTCAACTTCCCTCCCTAACCCCGGGGTTTTGGGGTTTTGGGGTTTTGGGGTTTTGGGGTTTTGGGGTTTTGGGG